TAATAATAATAATAATAATAATAATAATAATAATAATAATAAAAAATAATGAGAGCCTCTATTTCTGATTTCTTTAACCATATTCTGCATCAGGGAGCTCCTGCTCCTATTAAAGAAATTCGCGTAAATAAGGAACACATAAGAATTGTTCTGCCTTCGGAACAAGCTACTTATTAATCAAGAAAAACATTGCGAGGAACGAGGTTCAAACTTTTCCCCCCTTCTCTCCCACAGATTCCTGGACGTCACCATGAAAAACAGGCTGAGAATAGGTTTGATGAAGTTCGTCTCGGTTGAAGTAGCAGGAGTCGTCAGGCCTTACCTAGGGGTAAACAGCTGCTGCAGGCACCTAGGAATATTTAAGAACAGGAACGAAAGCGAAAAGCGAGAGCTTGCTAGAGTCACCGATGCAGTCAGTGACAATAAACCTGCATTCATTTCTACCAGGATGCTTTATGCTCCCTTTCCTCACCGTTTGTAGCATAGACAGGTTTAATCGGAAGCAGATCGCGCTGAATTCAGTAGGACTTTTTGGGAAATACGTCTGGGACGAAAGCTGTTAGCTAACCATGGCCTTTGGTGTACAAGCAGGGATCGAAGCCTGCCACCGCAGTCCTACGCACGTTGCTTCAAAACCCCAAGTGCCACCATGTTCAGGGCTCATACTCTAAGGCAAATGGACAGTCAAATGTTGCAGTCCCATGCCCTGTCTCTACACCAGTGATAAGCGGTCAATGCACGCGCTGGCAGGCATTACACCTGGAGAATAAGGTTAACTCTATCGTCCGCATCCTGTGGTTAATTCCAGCGATCGCTGGGAACCTACTGTAGAAAGGAATCCCTCGCCGTGGGAGGAAGAACTATGAACCAAGAAGATGGGACGGGGAAGAGGACGCTTAGCAATTGGCCTGAGCCGTCAAAAGTAACGCTGTCGAAGTAAGCAGATAAGCAACAGGGCGACTGTCCTGGAGATTAAGAAATCAAAAGACGGGCAGAAAAATCTCCTGCCAGTCAGTCCTCCAACTTCAGTGCGGAGAAGCTGGGGTGCAAGGCGCCCGCCTCCCGCGATTTAAGAGGGGCTGGGGGCTTCCCTAGGCGAAGGTCCTTTTCAGAAATCGAGAGAAGGGAAGCAGTTTGGTCAATCCGGAAAAATAGCTATTGTGACACGAATGGTCTCCATTACAACAGAAGGGCCAAGCGGGGCCGGGGCGGGGCGGGGGAGCAGGGCAGAGTGGAGGGGTGAAGAGAGAAAGAAAATCCCACAGACGGATAAAAATAGTGGCGAAGAGCAAAGCAAAGGATGTGAACGAAGAGCTGTGGGTACCGAGAGTGATAAACAAGCGGGGTACTGGAAGAGACTGACGGTTTGTTCGCTTCTGGAAAGAAGAGATAAAAGAAAAAAAATTGTTCTTGTGGAGGGAGACTTAAAATACAGGTCAGGGTGAAGGCGGGATACCACACCGTTATCTTAAAAAAAAAGGGAGGCATTTGTCCCGGGGGAGAAGGGTGGCCAGATAAGACGGGAAGGTGGGAAGAAAGGCTGAATGGGAAGAGCGGGCGTTCCACTTCCAGGCGACAATGGGACGTTCTGGAGCGGGGTGGGTGGGGGGAGGAAGGGAGAGCGAGGAGGAGGGAGGGGAACAAAGAGGCATCTCTTTTCGGGTTCTCCGGGAAATGGAGATCCACGAAGGGCAGGAAGAACCCTGAATTCCCTCCCCGGGACAAAGGTAATACGATGGCGCCACACAATCTCCCTAGGACTTCTGCCCTTCGGCCGTAGAGAGACAGAGAGAGAGCGAGAAGGTTGACCGAGATGCCGTTTGCAGCACGAGGGAACCTTTCCTCGCCGATTCCAAAGGCGCCGACGAAACGCCAAGCAGGGAGAGGGGGGGGGAAAGGGGGCTTGCGAGAGTGGCACCGCGAAGGTGCTCTTGCGAGGAGGGGGGAAAAAAAAGAGCGGGCAGACTGGAGAGGGAGAGAGAGGTAAACAAATCCTGAGGTGAAGAAGCGCCCGCGCTCGGCTTGGCCGGGCCGCCGGCGGCACGAAGGGGAAGGAAGCCCGGGTGGCGGGCGGGCGACCAAGGCGGTCTGGCGCAAGGGTCTGGCTGCGCCTGCTGCTGCTGCTGCTGGGGCTTTTGACAGCCTGCCGAAGCGAAGGGAGAGAGGAGCTTTATGGTAATTGCGGCTCTCCACTGGCCTTCTGGGTAGCGAGCGAGCCGAGCGGAGCCGAGCTGAGAGGAGAAGGGAGTCGAGGAGGGGGCGGGAGACTTTCCTTTTCAACCTCGCCTGGTCAAAAGGAGAGCGGAGTCTCCTCAGGACGCCCTCAGGCAGGGCAGGGCAGGGCCGGGCGAGGCGAGGCAGAGCGAATGGAATAAGGGACCGGGGGTGGGGGGAGAGGCGAGCGCGCGTTGGGACAAGCGTTGTCGGCCAGCAGAGACACCACAGAGACCCAGAAGCGGGGAAACACGGAAGAGAGGAGGAAGGGTGTGTGTGGGGGGAATCGATTAAGGAGAGCCTTAAAAAGACGGCATGCAAGGCAGCTAGAGGGTGAGGCGGCGGGGCGGAAGGGGGGGGAGGAGAAGCCTCGCTGCTTGGGAGAGCGCGGCGGCGGCGGCGGCGGCTTTGCTGCTGCCGGCTTCGCTCAGTGCTTGCCGCAGCCGGTGTGCGACCGCGGCGGCAGGTCGGGGGGGCTCCCTCTCTCGCTCCTCTCTCCGGCACACACGCAAACACACACACGCACAAACATACACCAGACTCTGTTCAGGTAAGGTGTAAGGGGTTGGAGTAGTGCCTCTTCGTGTCTGTCGCCCGCCTTCTTCGCCCTTGCAGCCTCAGGTCCAAAGAGAAGGTTCTCCCCCCCCCCCACCAGCCCAGC